CCTCCGCGGTCGAGATGGGGCGGCCCTTGACCGGCGCCGGGGAGGCCATTCTGCGTGAGGTTGAGGCGAGAAGAAAGAATGAATCCGCAAGCGATCGGCCACAATCCCGATGCCCGGTCACTTAAGCAATGACCGGCTTCTTGGACCGATGCGATGAACTACACATTTAGCGCGCAGACTGTCGTCTTCGTCGCTCTTCTTGCGGTTGTCCTCCCTGCCGTTTTCCGCATCGTATCGAACCCCTTCACCCTCCTCCTCGTCTCCCCTTTCGTCCTTGCTCTCTTGGGCATCGCGTTCCTGGTCTTGAACGTGCTCGTGAGCCATCTCCTCGATGCCAAAGCACCTTCGGCGAGGAACAATCTCCGCCATGCAGCTCGCCCATTCGTATTCTCAAGCCCCGCGGCATGGCAGGCCGTCCTGACGCGCTCCCAGTGGTCCCACAACAGCCCTCAGTCGTTTCCGCCTCTGGTTCCCAATGCGCCTGTGCTTTCAGGCGCAATAAACGACATCCTCATCATGATTGTTCGGGACTTTGTGCTCGTATGGTACAAGGACATATCAACGTCTCCGTCGTTCCCTATGGCCGTCTCGGGGGTGCTACACAAATCACTCGAAAATGTACTGGATCAGGCTGCCGGAATCGATTTAGCGGAGCTTGTTGTCAAGCGCATACTCCCCAAGGTTACTGCACACGTTGAGCAGTTCCGACAGTCAGAGGTTGCGCTCCGTGGCGCAGGGTTGGAGCGGCGGTTGACCCAGTCAGAGGAGCTCGACCTTTTACTGGCCAGTCGATACACAAGCAAAGGCGGCGGGAAACTTCATCCTTCGGTCGACAATTTGTCTACTACTTTTACCAGGCAAACAGAAGAGGCACACCTCAGGCAGCTGGTGGCAAAAGCGCTTCCGTTCATCTTGCCAGAGACAGAGGGCCAGAGCAGGGTTTTGAAGTTGGTTGTGCGGGAGATTGTTGCGTGCGCTGTTCTATACCCAGTCATGGAAATGCTGTCGGATCCCGACTTTTGGAACAAGGCAATCGACCAAGTGGTGCGCAGTTCAATTTAACCCCCGATTCATAGTCTCATTATTTCGATACAGGCTGGTGCGGCAATACACGAACAGAAACTGATCACGAAAGTGCGGAACGTTCTCGAGGCTCAGTCACCTCGACCTCATCATCGACTGTCGTCTGCGCCAGTCCCTTCTGGGCCTGCGACCGAGACCATCACGATCAAGACGGACGCTCGTCAGTTCGAGTCTTTTCTTCGCAGCATAAATCGCTTTTCGTCGCTTTTGGACGCCCGTCGACTGAAGAATGATGTAGTAGGCGAGATTAGGAGAACTCGAATACTGCTCGGTGAGTGATTCCCGTGTTTAAACGATTCCACCGACTGACCGCAAACAGCCAATCATGAAAAGGAAGACTGGATCAACGGAGACAAAACTGAAGACGTCGTGGCGTTTTTGGACAGGCTCTACACCGCCAAGAGAAAGGTCGAGGAGAGGATTGTTGTTCTCGGTGGAGGAGACGATTCGGTAAGGGACTGTGCTGCCTTTCCATAAACACGTTGACCGTTCTCAAAGGGACGACAATCGTCTTTCCACGAGCCCGGCGTCAAGTCGGGCGTGACATTGCGCGAGGTTTTACAGAACCCCAGTTCTCTATCATATTTCATGGAGTTTATGGACCGCCGCCAACGGTCTTTACTTGTTCAATTTTGGCTGACCGTCGAAAGCTTCAAGAATCCGCTCGAGTCCGTGGATTCGAGTTCCTCTGGCGACGAAGATGATCCTATCCAGGATGCTTCCACGTTGGTCACCGTGAGGGAGGATATCTCCATGATCTACGAGCTTTATTTTTCGACACCTACTCCTCATCCTACACTTGCCTCCATACCGAAGAAGCACATTCAGCGCATTCGGGACTTTGCGACGAGTGACCAGCCGCCGTCTCCCGCTACGCAACGGACTGTGCGCAGGAGCGTTATGCTCGCGCAGAGACAAGTGGAGCGGAACATGGAGCACGACTTTGAGGACTTTGAGCGCTCCGAATTGTGGTTTCGTGCAATTGGCGATACAGAATTTGGACGCTCCGCGCAGAGAAATTCGCCAGAACCAGCACCTTCGCTCAAGTATCGGCGATCTGTCACATCGCCAGGCCTTGCGAACCTTCATCTCACTGGTGTTCCGTCTCCTCTCAAACAGAGTTATGGCCCGCTCCCACACATGCTGCCTCGCTCTGAAACTTCGCCCGGCTATGTTCGGCAGAGAAGCGCCAGCGGTGGATCCCATCGGTCGAGTGGTTCGCAATCTCATCAGTCTCGACCCTCCAACATCGAGGTTCTCATGTCGCCTGTCTTCGATACGTCCTCTGACGACTCCAGAGCCCCGCTCTTTGACGATCCCGATGATCGGCTGCAGCGAGCGGAGGAGGTCCGTATGGAGGCTATCCAGGCGGCTCTGACCGACATCATGGCGTTGCAGCAAGAAACTCCAAACGACGAGGATCTCGGGGATCGAGATACCATGTTTGCACCTTCACACTCGAGGAAAGGCAGCGGAAAGCGCCGGGCAATGTTCGACGTTGACGAGGTGGACGAGATCGACGAGGACCGACAGGAAGAAGCCGGTGAGGAAACTGGATCGTTCCAGATGGCCGCCCCAGGCGACCTCCAGCTTTCCTACGATATTGCTCGGTTGGGAGACAATATCGCCAATCTGCAGTCGCAAGAGGCGATACTTGTCACACTGATTAAGAAGGCGGAGTTGACTGGCGACACGCAGGAACTGAAGCTGCTGAACAAGTCCAAATCCGCGATGAACCGCGAGTTGAGGGCTCTGCAGTTCCAGAAGTCGCAGTACGAGCAGCAGGACGCGGTGAACCGCTTGTTCTCGGACCGTACCAAAGTGGCTATCGTCAGCTCCACCGTGGGCGACGAGGAAGGGAAGCAGGTTGTTCGGTATCTTGTCGAGATCCAGCAGCTTGCGCCCGACGGGAGCTTTGCGTCTGGCTGGGTGGTGGCTCGTCGGTACAATGAGTTTTTGACAATGCATACCAAGCTACGGGACAAGTATGCTCTCGTCCGAAACCTGGATTTTCCCGGGAAGCGGTTGGTCACTGCGTTGTCCAATAGTTTTGTGGACACGCGGAAAGTTGCGTTGGAGAAGTATCTGCAGGTCGGTTGCCGTGCGTTATGCAATTCTAGTGCTCACATCCGGCCAGAATCTCATCGCCATTCCGATTGTTTGCGACAGCGACGAGCTGCGGGGGTTCCTGTCGAGGGAGTCTCCTTTCTCTGCGTCCGAGACCCCCGGGACAGCAGCTAAAGGGCCGGCCGCATTCTCAGGCACGGATCTAGTGCGAAACGTATATAAATCCGTCACTGAGAGCATCGACGACATGTTCTTTGGGCCATCGATGCTGGATGTCATGATCCAGCGCCTTACCCGCCAGGCCGCCGAGTTCGCGGGCATCGTAGGATCCGGCGTCAACGATGTGGACCTTGTCGCACAAGCATTAAATGCCTCGGGAAAGACCTCGTCCGAGGCTGCGATGATGGAGCTTTCGGGCGATCTCAAGCCGCTGGAAGGGGAAACGAGCACGTCCACTTTCTCGGCTCCTATTTGCGACCTGTTGCTCGCGGTGTTCGAGCTAAACAAGACGAACAACTGGCTCCGGCGCCAAGCAGTTGTGATCATTTTGCAACAGGTGCTGGGCGGCACCATCGAGCGGTAATGGTTATCATGAAGCCGGAACTTTAGCCTGATGGTTCTTTCAGAAAAATCCGAGAACAAGTGAAGGCTTTCCTCGAAGAATCGCGCATCATGGTCATCGTCAATTTGTTTCGGAATGGACTTTGGCCGGGAGGAAAATTGAAACCTCCAAGCGTACCGCGGACACCCGACGAGAAGTTGAAAACAAGAGATGATGCGAATCGAAAACTCTCGTCTTTAGTACCTGGTGTGTTTTCCCTGGTATGGAGATGGGTTTCCATTAAACAATATTTCAGACCTGGCAGCGAACATGATAGGACGGACGAATGCTCGTCGGGGGGCGCGAAGAATCTTTGCAGTTTTGCAGAATCGTCGACTGAACCAACACATCGCATACACCATCGTAGACGAGGTTGGTGATCTTTATTTTACTTTCTTCGCGTGCTGACCAGGCTCAGGTGTTTGCGGCGTTGTTTCCCGATGCATCATGACCTTACGACTTAATCATTACTTTCACGAACCGGCACCGACAAGCACTCTCGGGATTACTAGGATAAATGTAAATTATAATACAACAATCTTTTAGCACCGCCGCAATATTATTTCCCGTGGCATGGCGAGTGACTCCAACAATAAGATGCGCTTCCATCGAGACCCTGTCTCGTGTACAGAACTCTCGGCGCTAGAAAACGAGATTCTATCTTGCTCTCTCATTCTACAACAGGTAGTAAAGAGCGAGGCAGTTGATGTCCCGTGTGGTATCATATTCGACGTATTTAACCCACACTTTTTCATTGCTTGTACCAGCCAGGGATGTCCACGGAGGAATTCTCAGCTACGAAAATGATAACTCATGAATACAAATTACTACTTCTTCATTGTAGGCTCCTACTCGTCGCTTTATTTGGCTAGCATAGCCTAGTATGTTGACCAAGATTTAATCGAGATACATATGTATAAGAAGATCCGATTTGAACTTCCTCCACTTGATCGACAACAAGTATTGGCCTGTATCTCAACAACCACGGATGAGATTCCTTAGGAATAAATTGTAGCATGGAATATATATCAATGCAGTTCATTTTACCACTTGGACCTAGTGATTTGAGTAACATTTGGTCGAAATATGTGCCAAATTGTGCTTTTTTGACTAGGATTATGTTCAAGCCTTGTTTGGGCCGTTGACCTCGGGGGGGCTAGGTGTGACATCTTGGACTTATGCGTACGAAGGATGGAAAGAATCCTAGGTACTTTTTGGATTTAAAAACGGTCAGGAACGAGAAAAAGATTGACCTCTGCCCGGATTGAACGGACGACCTTCTGGAAGCTGACTACCTGATGGCTAAGCGGTAGCCCGTCGGGTACGCTGGAATCAGATGCTCTACCGCTGAGCTAAGAGGTCATGTCTATGGTCTCCAGAGAGATAGATAAGGTCTGGAAGTCGAGATCTGGTCAAAACGGCGAAAAAAACGGATCACAGGAAAACGATCCCGACAAAACGAGCTAAGAGTCATACTGTGCCGAGAAAAGGTTACATGGATAAGCATAATACCACACCCTTGCAATGGTGGGCACGTTCCAGAAGTTTTAATGCAGCCAAAACGGGAGAGAATTGAATAACACAAAGTCTCCGAAAAACGAGCTTTAATGCATCGAATTTTGTAGCATGAAGTCGCACGACATGCCAGACAATGTATATAAACCCAGCTGGAGCAAGGCCCAACCCAATGTTCATGTGGAGATGAATTTCGCGAATATTACCCTTTTAGGACATCGGAGGTTATTTGTTGTGTTGTGTTTGTTGCTCCCAACATCCATCACAGAACCTGTGTTGCCATCAAGAAAGTTCACTGACAATGTTCTTTTAGGTGTGGTTGGTTTCGGGTTGGGCCGGCGTTTTTATCTTCTGATTTCCCTCTTGGAATCTGGTCTGGACCGTCTGGTTTCATCTGGACCTCTGCTCATCCTAGATTCAAGTCCATATAATCCAACATCCAAAAGAAACAAATCCACCTGTAAGTGTATACCATGAAAGCTATCATATAGATTATTTACGAAAGCGATTAAATAGCTTGTACATGAGTATCTTAAGCAGTTTTATCAGCAAGTGTGAGTCCACGTCTAGCCTGTACATTCGCGAACTTGAAGATGAAACCGAGAAATGAACCGTCAATTCTTTACCGCCAAGGGAGCCCTCGGTGAAGAGTGTCCTTTGGCCAAGCTCATCTTTGCTCCAGAGTAGAACCCTATCCTCCTGGAAAACCCACTCCAAGTTGGGGGTCTGAGGCCATATCAGGTCGGTTCGGAGCAGACCTGTGAGGTCCGACCTAGAGCGCTGGAAGACCTTCTTTTCAGCTTGCTACAGGGTTTTCTCGCAAGGACTACAAAGACACCACCGGCTCGCCAAATCAAGGTCCCAGGCATCAGCGGGCTCAAAACAAAAAACGAAGGAAATTCCTATTTTTTTTCAGCTATATTATGTACCTGATATCCTTCTCCGACTTGGGGGTCTGAGGCCTAGCGACGCGAAAAACGTAGGGGGTTTGAGGCCAATTTGACCAACTTTTGCCGGACTTACCGCTCGCCATCACTAGCCCCGAGTCCGAAATTACACCAAGGGTAATTGTCTCTTGCAGTTGGATCTGCTCGCACTCTCTGAGTTCATCATACCCACTGCGTATTTGCTGCTCCTCGTACTCGGCTGCTCTGATCTCGACGCTAAAAAATCGGCTTACGCATCCCCTCCCGCGTAGCTAGAACCTTTACCTATTTTCGTCCGTGTACGTGATTATTGTCTGTTCGCATCCATACTACCCCGCACCTTATCTCCGCACCTCTACTTCACGGCCACAACTTGTACGACAGACGACCATGGGCAGGTTATGGACCACGGTGGCTGTCGTAGTAGCAGGCATCTGGGTGGTCGACGTTCTTGACTGGTATTTTCGAAAAGACAGCAGTAGTTTCAGACGGGGATATGGCGCGCGCGGCTGTGCCGGCGCGATCTGGCTCCTACATAAGTATAATCCTGTTAGCTCTTACGACTTGTAATACGTACCACCATGTCCTCTACCCTCCGTGCCCGCTACGAGGCCGCCGGCCAGGCCCACCTCTTCAAATTCTGGGACGGCGCTCTCCGGCGCAGAACAGAAGGCGCTTGCCGATCAGCTCGAGGCGCTTGATATAGAACGTGTTAACCGCATTTACAAGAAAGCAGTCAGCGCCGAGGCAGAGGCCGCCGCTCCCGGAGGACACGATCCTATCCAGCCTCTGCCAAAGGACGCGACAGACTCGGTGAAGAGCGATGGGAAGGAGGCGGAATGGCGGAAGATTGGCCTCGAGGCCATCGCGAACAACGCGGTTGGCGTGCTGCTCATGGCGGGCGGCCAGGGCACCCGTCTAGGCAGCAGTGCCCCCAAGGGCTGCTACGATATCGGCCTGCCCTCCCACAAGTCCCTCTTCCAATACCAGGCGGAGCGCATTGCGCGATTGCAAACTGTCGCAGAGGAAGAGTTCAAAAAGCCCGCCTGGAACCGTCATCATCCCCTGGTATGTCATGACTAGCGGCCCTACGCGCCGCGAAACGGCCGATTTCTTTGCAAAGAACGCGTACTTCGGACTCGACCCCAAGAACGTCATTTTATTCGAACAAGGTCAGTTGGCCAACGTGTTGTGTTGCTGGCGCTCAGTTTATTACAGGTACTCTTCCATGCCTCACGATGGAAGGCAAAGTCCTGCTCGACTCCAAGTCTCACGTAGCGGTTGCTCCCGGCGGCAATGGTGGTCTTTACGAAGCTACCCGCTCCCCCATTTCCCCCGACGACAAGTCGCACACCGTCCTCACGGACCTCGCAAAGCGCAAGGTCCTCTACGTCCATGCCTACTGCGTGGACAACTGCCTCGTTCGCGTTGCCGACCCCGTCTTCCTCGGCTACAGCATCAAAAAGCAGGCCGACTGCGCCGCGAAAGTCGTCCCCAAATCCTATCCCACAGAATCCGTCGGTGTCGTCGTCTCCCGCGGCGACAAATTCAGCGTCGTCGAATACTCTGAGATCTCGAAGGAGCAAGCCGAGCGACGCGACCCCGAGACCGGCGAGCTGAGCTTCCGCGCGGGGAACATCGTTAATCATTTCTACACGACGACGTACTTGAACAAGGTCGAAGAGTTTGAGGAGGAGCTCGCCTTCCACATCGCGCGGAAAAAGATCCCCCACGTCGACTTGGAGACCGGTGAAGCGGTCAAGCCCGCGAAACCCAACGGCATGAAGCTCGAGATGTTCGTTTTCGACGTGTTCCCGTACACGGAGCACTTTTCGGTGTTGGAGGTCATTCGGGAGGAGGAGTTTAGCCCATTGAAAAACGCTCCAGGAACGGGCTCCGACGACCCCGAGACGAGCCGCAGAGACTTGTTGGCACAGCACAAACGTTTCTTAGAAAAGGCGGGCGCGACCGTCCAGGATGGCGTCGAGATTGAGATCTCGCCGCTGGTGAGCTACGCTGGAGAAGGTCTTGAGAGCGTCAAGGGCAAGACGTTCACCAAATCGGGAGTGGTCGGGGCTTCCGAGGAATTCGACGCGTTGGCGTGAAACCCTAGTTTAGAAAAACGGACCTAGAAAATAGTTACTGGACGGACTCTGTACTTCGCATATACCTGTGTAATCACTCGCTTTCGCTCTTGGAGGTAGTTTGAGTTTGGAAGATATTTCAATTCTGACCTACGTCAACCTCCTACTACCCCGTCCGTGGCAGTCTTGTTAACTCTAGGTCCTTTCCTCTCCAGCTCCTCCCGGAGCGAGGCGAACAACCGCTGTGTTCTTTCCGCGTTGGGCTGCAGATAATAGTGTTATAAGCTGGACGACCGAGGGACGCGCCCACTGACCTCCTTGCAGCATTGTATTAATTTGTCAATGAGCATGGTCTGGCCGTTCTGCGCGTCTTCAAGATCCTTCCTGAGCTGTTGGATCTGTTATAGGGATGAATAGAACATGTAAAAAGGACCGACGGACAGCGCACCTCTTCAGCTCGTTTCTCGGCGCGAGTCTTCTCCCCCTCCGCTAACTGCTTTTGCTCAGCAGCTCGAGCGCGAGACAGCAGAACCTCTAATTCTTTCGAACGTATGACACATTCAAAATGACGTTCCCGCAACTCGTATTGACGAAGGACCTCTTTCAGTCGTTCCCGGACACTGCATGATATTGTCGGCGAGTCGGAGACAAGGCACAAGAACGTACACTCCATCGAAGATCTCGGTCATCGTCCTCCTGGCCCTATAAAATATCATTAGTGCGTTAACGGCACCAATGAGCGGCAAACGCACTCTCGAGGATTATCCGTCCAATTCTTCTTCAGTGTCTGTCGCCGAGGTTCCGCCAGCTCGTCCTGTACCGAGTTGAGATGAACCATATACCAGGACAAGACTTGCGTACCCATTCCTCCAATCCGGAACCCTCGGTCAAATCCATCAACTCGACCGCAAGAATCTCATCGGCATCCTCCATGCCGGCCTCTTCAGGAGTCTGGTCGGCCTCGACCGTCCGCCCGTTGTGAGTGAATATGAACTGCATGGTCTGGCTCGGCACGCCAGGTCCAGCAGGCGGAACCGCGTCGGATTTGACCGACCCGTTCTCAGGCCCAGGCGGGTTCGCCACGCCCTTTTTCCCGCCCGTCTTCTCCATCCTGTCAGTCCAGGCGTTGAATAGCCGCGACAGCTTCGTCTTGCGCGAGATTTTGAAGAAAAGCTCCGCGCGGTAGCGGCAGACGACTTTCACGACAATGTCGGGCATCTCGCGGTATTTAGCGTCCTGCACCTTGGCTTTCTCGGCACGTTTAGTAATGTCGTTTCTCATTTGTATGAGCTGCGCATGGTGAGCGTACGTTAGGGACGAATAGAACGTAAAGACCTCATCTTGAGCGTCCTCGACGGACTGCGCCAGCCGCTTTCCGTCCTCCTTCGCATTGTGTTAGAAACGTGCCAATGGTCGCGTTACTCTTGCTCACCCGAAGTCGCTTGTTATCCTAGTCCAACAATTAGCGTGGACCGGACAAGTAGCGTCGTGAATTACCTTCTGCAGCTCGCGGGCAAGGTTCTCAACCTTGGTCTTGGATTGATTCGCCTTCGTCAGCTGGCTTTTGGCTGCGAAAAACTTGAACGCGCTGGTCGCACGAGCAGAGGCGGGACAATATACCCGCGTCTTTGTCCTTGACGAGTTTTTGCTTCTCCTTGGCGTGGTCTCGTTCCAGTCGCTTGAATTCCGCAAACTACAAAGCCTTCAAAAAAAAAAGTGGCTTGCCAGGGTCATCCCGATTTACCAGTTCGATGTATTTCGCGTGGATGGCATTCTCCTCCATGCCCTTCACGGACTTCTGCGCCTCTTCGGCTGCTCGAGCTGAGTGTTACGGGTC